ATGTATAGCTAGATTATAATTAAATTAATTTATCATAGACGATAACATAATGCACAATTTTTCTTGTGTAAATCACGTGGTGCATTTTGATGATTGGCTATCTAATATCTAATCTATATATATTACGAATTTATTTGACGATTTTTGATTTATATCACGAATTATACTATAGCGCATTTCTAATGGGTTTAACGAATTACATGTCATTTATTTGAATTCAAATTTATTTTAATGACTTAGTATTTACTAAAAAGATGTAATTTTTTTTAAAAAAAAAATTTTTTATATGGATTTGAATGATTGTTTTGAATTCTTAGAATTTTGTGCATTTGCAATGTACCTAAGTTAGTAGCGAGCGAAGCGAGCTTGGTTTGCGAAGCAAAGCATATAAGATTGCGTAGCAATTTTCGAGGGTTGGCGAGCGTTAGCGAGCAGGGGGCGCAGCACACTAGTTTAATATATTAGTTTAATTTATCAATTATTAATTGATATATCGATTTAATTTGATTTTAATATTTCGAAATTCAAAATAAAACAGTAATCAAATTGTTTAAACTTTGTTTGTACAGTAATTTTTTCTACAACTTTTACATCAACCCCCTTCTTCCCAGTCACCCCTCCCCAACAAATGAAATTGTAAAAAATTACTTACACAACACCTAGGAATTTTCTGCTAAAAAAAAAAAAAAAAACTCGATCATTTTTAACCAGTTTTTCCGAGAAAACTCGCTCTTAATGAGTTAAACTAGAAATGAAATAAATAAACTATATTCCAAACTTAAAAAGCAATTCATCGATAAAAATACTTTTATTTTTAAACAAATAATTACACTATTTTTCAAATGACGAAATTTGTGAGCAAATATATGCGCCAGGTATTTCATAACCATTGACTTAGGTATACAAAGGTAATTAATAATTAAATTATGAAGGAAACGGATATGTTGTCAAACTCGGAAACATCAGCTTTCAAGAATAACGGATTAAAACACCAAAACTTTTAACAATTTTATGCCTGAATGTAAAATTTAATTTAAAATCAAATGAACACAATCCGAAACAATTAATCTATTAAAATATTTCTTCAATGAATTAGAGTTACCGCTACTGTTGCGAAATTGGTTAAGGCGTCGATCACACCGCTGGTTGGAGAGCTGAGGGTAGTGTGTTCGATTCTGGTGGCTGACAAAATAACCAGCGTGTGTACGCAATAAGGTGCACATCCTGGCTGAAACTCCTCTCTGTGGTTGTGGTGTGGAAATTAAGAGAGAGGGGGGGGGGTACCACAGGTACTGTCCACGTCGTCTGACCAGTATCAAAATTACGTGGCTGATTGCTACCATGGCCAATAAAAGATAGAGCTCTAAAATGAGGCTAGATGATTGGCCGAATTCAATTCGTTATACATCACTTTTTGAACATTTCGTCTGACAAAATATGGGATTTAATATGTTTTCTGCAATTATTTGCTAGGCAATATTTCTTTAACTGGGAAATAAACATAAACTTATTTAAAATATGGTAAATCAGTATCGAGAAAAGCGGGATTAAAACATCTAAATATTTCATGCACGAAAGTAAAATACAAATGAAACCCCAACTTGATACAGCTGTATTCGAAATCGAAGAAACAATTTATTTACTAAAAAACTTTATACTTACATTCTACTGAAGTCAATTTTATTTTGTATGATAGAGAATATTGATATGTACAAAATATAGGCACAAAGTGATTCCCCAAAGATTAATGTGTGGTGTGGACTAATGCACGACCGAGTCATTGGGCCTTTCTTTTTCACAGAAAAGACGGTCTCATCAGTCGCATACTTAGACACGTTGGAAAACTTCGTATTTAAGCAACTAGAAGAGCTTCATGCCACATGTCTTGTATGTTGCTCCTTTTTATTTCGTTTTTTTTTGTATTTTGTGAAGGTGCCACTTCGGTGCATGATTGGTACGCATGTGCGTACCAGAAATTTTNTCAGTCGCATACTTAGACATGTTGGAAAACTTCGTATTTAAGCAACTAGAAGAGCTTCAGCCACATGTCTTTTTGCAACAAGATGGTGCACCACCTCATTGGGGTTTCATCGTTCGTAGTGCTTTGAATGACCATTTTCCAGGAAGATGGATTCGGCGAGGAGGTCCAATTCCTTGGCCACCCAGATCACCTGATATAACGCCGCTGGACTTTTTTCTTTGGGGCTTTATAAAGGACAATGTTTACGGGAGGATCGTGTCAAACATTGATGACCTAAAAGTCAGAATTACAACCGCAATAGCCTCTGTGGATGCCGACATGCTTGCCGCTACCTGGCGTGAAATTGACTATTGACTTGATATTCTCCGTGCGACGAAGGGGGCACACGTGGCAGTTCATTGACAAGGGTCATGAAACTTTTTGAGTTTATCTAACCATTTATGTTATTAATTTTAATCTATCTTTATTATTTTATGAGTTATTAAACATCAAAATGAGTCCGGGACTTTATAAACACTCTGTATTTAAGTGTGGAGAAAACAATTTTGTCAAAATCTAAGGAATCATTATTCATAAAAAACTGAATTAAAACATCAAAACTGGTTTGTTGCTGTGTAAAATTTCGAAGTTTTTTTAAATTATTGACTTTACCTAAAAATTCTGATTCCCTTAGTTCATATGACTTAGATAAAATAGGCAATCCCTTGTTATACATGAGTATATCGCTTATTATACTAACTATAATGTGCATAGTATAATGGGGGTACTAAACTAATGCAACTGGATTGCTTACTTAAATATTATGTATCATAGTAAAATATAAACAGCTGGAAATAATGTATAATTTTTGTATGTTTCTTTAAAAATAAGTGTGCAGTTTAAATGAGTATTAATAATATATAGAACAATACTAACAAATTCAAAAATTTTAATAATTTTTAAATAAAATTTTGATACTTTTTTTTATGAAAATGCATATGCTCCGCTTAACTTATCAAAGAAATCGAAATAAACCGTGTATTTTATTTAAGAAGATAAAAATTTGATATGCATATTTGAATAAATAAGAAATATAACATTGTTCTTTGCAGTTTTAATAAAAAAATATTTTTCTCTTTATTGATCAGTAAAAACCGAGATAAAAACTAGTCTTTTTCTTTTTATTTTAAAAAGAAAAAACACCCAACGAGCATCTTACACGTTTATTTTCTCAAAAATCAAAAATAAGATAAACAGTTTTTTACTGTTCTAAAAATAAACTAAAAAAATGCAACATATAATTTGAAATACAGAAAAAAAAATTAAGCTGTCAGATCTTTTTTTATTCTTGAAGCATAGGTTAATTTCAAACATATTTATCTTGCCGTATCAAATTCTAAAATCTCTTACTACAATTTTAAAAAGTTATATTTCTTAATGGTAAAAAAGTATGTGCAGAAATAAGTATGAAAAAATTACTAATTACTCTTCCCATAAAATTATTATCACATTGATAAAATTAAAAAGTGAAAAAAGGTAGTTCCCAAAACAATTTACGAACGACACAAAAAAAATTTATTATGAATGCTTTAATCTACTCTTTAAATACATTATTAAGCCTTGCTAATAGCATTACAGAAAAGAGAACAGAAAAAAAATCATAATAAAGTGGAAATTAAATAGTTTTTTTATGAATAAAACAGCCTTCAAAAACATTTCTTTAGAAATTTGAGAATCAAGTGGCAGTTTCATAGAAGGAGGGCATAATATAATAATAGCGAAAAAAAAATTTTTTTTTTACTATTTTTTAATGAAAAATATCCTGGAAATTAGAATTTGATAGCTTCATTAACAACTTCATTGACTTTTTGATGGTCAGAGAATAATTAATTATAGCCCATTAAGCGAATTTTTTAATCGCTTTCTTTTTAAAACATTTTCTGAAATCTGTTTCATTTAATCACGCTTTCAGCTCTCGTCTTCATTAAGAAGGGGAAAAAAATGTTTCCAGGAAAAATGAGAGGGTGTAAAAAATGTTTGAAAGTTTTTTTTATTTTTATCATCGTTGTAATGAAAATTTCTCGGTTATAAAAGTTAACTGGACTTGAACTACTCGTGTGATGCATAATATTGGAGATAATACGATAGATAAGTAAAAATTCATGTAATGTAAGTAGAATATTTCTTCAAAAAACGTATACAATTTAAAACTAATGTGATATTCTTAAACTAAAAACAAATATTGTTTGATTGCATAGATAAACATTGAAAAAAAATCTGTTTATGATCTTTTTTGTCTTTAGAATATTCAATTTTGTCTATTTTTTTTTGTCTTCAGAATATATTATAAAAGAAACAGTTTTACGCTGCTATGCGTGGTTTTATATATATGTTACTGAGAATGACCAAATCAAGAGAATGTCGACTTTCACCTGTAAATGTCAACAATCACCTCGTTTGGTGAATGTCCGAAATATTTGTTAGATTCGATTTGATATTAAAATTTATTCATTGATATACATATATATATTATATTATATATACATATATATAATCAAATATTACAATATTATCAAAAGTTTTAAAAAAGATTAGCCTTAATTTAACCTTAACCTTAAAAAATCAATGTTGGCGAGGATAAGCCTCTTAATGACCAAAATAAAAAATTCTTATAAATAAAATGTTNTATATATATATATTGTTCAGTATCTTAGAAATATAGCGCCAACTTGGCATCATTGTCTTAGCATCCTCGCCACCGTTTCTTGTAACCCCAATCAGTTGAAAATTAGTTGTTGATCTTATAGCAATCGCGTGCTCGTAGCACCAATCATAATAAAATCTTAAATACAGTCCATATCTGTTTTAATCATTTGTTAACAAACGAACCAGCATAGAAATCAAATCAATTAGTATCGAACATATATATATATATATTTGCAATTAACTACTTCTGTCTGTTCATTTACTAGCATAATAATTTCCATATTTTAAAGGGAGTTAATAGCATTTTTTTTAAAAAAATAATAAACAAAGCTTCTGCAAACTTCTTAAAAACAAAAAATTCTTACGTTGTTTAATATTTTTGATATAGTTACCGTTCATTTGTACTTTTCGTTAAGGCGATACTTTGCTTCAAAGCAAAAAATAGTACTTTCATACTTTGTGATGACAACAAATTATTTTCAAAAATGTACTCACGGTATTATTAAGTGTTTTTTCTTCTTTACTCTCAGTTTTAAGTCTGGAATGGGAATTGTTATTGGAAGGAAGTAATTCTTCAGGCTTTGGAGACAAGGAAACAAAATTCTGGAAAGAGAAATAAAAACAGAATCTGTAGAAATAAAAATAATTTCTTCACTTAAGAATACATATCATTTTTCGTTTCAAAATTTTATTTTTTAAATTACAGCACAAACCAGACGAAGTATAGACTAGAGCTAAGATATGGGCATTATTTATCTTTTAATCAAAAAATTTGACACATTTTATTGACTTTAAGATTTTTTATAAAACAAAACCGCAGCAAACATTTTTTAGAAGGGGGCATATATAATTTAAAATTTATGATCTTTTACCTGATATGAAAACATGCAATAAAACTCTAGAGATGAATTTTTTTTTAATTGCACAATGAGAAAATCCCGTGTTTTTATTAGTACAAATTTTCGGTCATGATTATTATTTTCATTATCATTTCATTATAAAATTTAAAATTGAAATTTAGAGAACAATTAACAATATTAAAATGAAACAAAATAGGTTATGAAGTATATATTTTTTCACTTATACCACAAATAAGCCGAAGTATTAACTAAAACTAAGACATGGCATTTTTTTTCTTTTAATCAGAAATTTTGACATATTTTATTGATTTTTAAGATTTTTTTAAAACAAATCACGGCAAAAATTTTTTTTTTTTGGGGGGGGGGACACATATCGGACTTAAAATTTATGATCTTTTACCTGATATGAAAACATGCAATAAAATTCTAGAGATGAATTTTTTTTAATTGCATAATGATAAAATCCGGTGTTTTTATTTGTACAAATTTTGGCGTTTTATTATTATTTCCATTATTATTAGAAAAAAAATATAAAATTGAAAATTAAAGAATCATCAACAATATTAAAATGAAACAAAATAGTTTATCAAAATTACAAAAAAAGTTATGAATAGGTTATATATATTATGAATAGGTTATATATTTTCATTATGTAAGTAATTCTGCAGCAGTAATTATTCATATTTGATAAATAGTATAATAATGTATAATTGCTAATTTATAATTTCTAGTGACTAATATGAAATGTACTACCAAAGTATAAATATGCATATTGTTTAATCATCAAACCTTTTGCAGTGACAGGTGTAAGTCTTTAAATTACTATAAATATACTTTAAGAACACAATTGTTAAGTTTTCAGGATCGCTCAAAAAGATTTTTACATACTTAAATATACGATGCAGTGGTACACAGGAATATTTCTTACAAATATCCAACCTAAAATGTGTGTATAATTATCTGGTCTTTCTTCCCCGAACACTTTTAAGTTCTATTTTAAACTCATAATTTTTTGTACTACACTACACTCCAAAAAATTCCGTTTAAAATCACTGATACCCGTGCTTTTTACCGTTAAACTTTAAGGAACGAAAAAAAGCTGATGTCGCGTTATTTTTACAGTATTTTTATTGAATCACTGTAATTAAATAAATATGTCTGTAAATACTACGGTATAAAATTTTGCGATAGAAATGGATTTCACGGATGCCAGTACTTTTTCCCGAAATTTTAAAAGGAATTTTTTACAGCGCATATCAAATGTCTAATATTAAAAATTCAAATACAGAAATGATTTATAGCTGTATTCGAAGGGAGACAAAAAATTAATGTTTCAAAATATAAATACTTATGGAAAAAAATGGCAACTTTATCGTAAATATAATTTTTATATGAATAAAGCTTATATTTAGTTTGGTAATAAAGCAAACTGAGAAAAGAAACTTTCTAAGCATAACTGATTTACAATTCAGCCCAAAATTTTTGAATAAGGGTTGTAAAATGTTTTGATTTATTTGAAGCGAAGAAAAATAATAGAGAAATCTATCAGAAACGGTTAGGCAGTTTTTATTAATGATGACTTTTTTTTAAAAAAAAAGAAAGCTACGCCGAAGAAAATGTTAATGGAAAATTTATTATCAAATATAAATAAAAAATTATGGAATTTCTTTTTTAATTTCACCTTAAAAAAGTTTTTTTTACATTAAAAAATCGTGAAGGCCACCGCTGCTGTGGGTGTTCAATTTTACACTACATATTGTTTTTCTGCGTAGAAATCTACATGATCTAGAAACTTGAAATTATGATGAGGTATAAAAAATATGTATGGAGTAAAAAATTATCATTCGATTATTATTTCAAGAAATATTAACTATTTAACGTGTGGGGGAAAATACCCTGTGGGACACTCTACAGGTCACATGAATGCAATAATAGAGTTGAAATTTGATATGTTGAAAATGTCATGTTTGTTAAGAATACGAGCTTCTTCGTTTGAAAATTATTGAAATTTCAAGTGTTTTTTGTTGCAAATATTTTTATCTTTTTTTCTCAGCGTTAAATTTTGTTTTGCAGCAAAAAAATTTATAAGACAATGAACCTGGAAATTACGACAGTGAATAGAAAAATGTACAAAAATTTTGATGAAATTTTTTTTTTCGATTATTAGCTTGAGAATTACAGCTGTTAATTTTTAGAAAAACAAAAACTTTGTCGTCTGATCTACTATTCGCTGAAATAAAAGAGGTTTTATTTTATTTTATTGTGCAAAGAATTTGACTTATTATAAAGGCAATAAATTTTTCTTAGTTAAAAAATGTGTTCAAAAATTATTAAAATTATTATAATTCTGAGAAATTATTTTTCACTTTTTTTTTGCTTTAAATAATGATTATGTTATGCATTGATGTCGAAAACTTATCTTTTTCAAGATAATCATTTTATCAGCTCGCATTTGACTTGATGCCAAAAGTAACAAGAATATTAATAAATAAAATAAAAGAAATAATAGGAATCCATCAGATTTTGACACATATAAATCATAAAATTTCTATCGAAATTTTTTAAGAGCAAAAATGTTTCAAATGTAGGCAAAACCCAATTTAAATTGCTATATAGCATAAGTTACCTTTATAGATTGTTAACTAGTGAAAATTTTTCTTATTTATTAATTCTTATTTATAATTTCGTATTATTACACACATACTGTATTCCTATGCTTAATTATTTACTTTTAATACAGTTGATTATTTTTCAAATTCAACTAATTTTTCTTTTTGATAAATTTAACATATTAGCAAAGTTTTCTTATAAAAAATTATAATAATTATGTATTTTAAAAACAAAATTATCTTTTTTTAAAAAAAGTATTGAAATTTAAGGGGAATTAAAACAAATACGATTATCATGGGGCTTGGCGTGCGAAGCGAGCAAGGAGCGGATTCTCTGTGTCTTTATAAAATGGAAAAAGGTTTTGCATTTTGTATGACAACAAAGAAAGTTTTGAGAACTAACTTCAAATGCATAAATAAAGTATGTATAAATCTGCCCAAAACATTCTCTAGTAACTGGTAAATTATTTGATTCATTTTAAGTTTAAAAAAAATGTATATCAACAAAATAATATTAAAGCAATTTTTATTAATGGTCATAAAGGAACGTTTATTGCATTTCATTTGACAATGAGGCGAAATTGAGAAAAATAACTTCGAAAGGATAAATAAATTATATATAATTCTGCCTAAATCTTCTTTTGATTCATATTAATACAGAAAATCATACAGGTGAAATCCAACAAAAAATAAAACTAATTCAGTCTTCATTAATGAACTCTACGAAACAAAATAAAAATTCTTAAAAAAATTTTTTTTTCTCAACAAAAAAATGTTTTGTATATCAGACTCAAAAAGAACAAAAAGAAAGTTTTCGAAATGCTCCACTACCCCAGCGTCTCCAGAAGGGCTGGTCTGAGAGAGAAGTATCCATACACACATAGGGTATGTGTAATCGCACGGTTCCAGTGAATTCTTCTTTTTGATTGTGTACACATACACGGAGACAGATCAATACATTGAGTTGAAGGGGAAAAAATATCCTGCAATCGAATAAATCGGATCCACATCAAATGTAGCGTAGAAAAAGAGATTTAAAGAAAAGAAGGAAGAAATTCGATTATATCAAAAAGGTCTTCCACGTTTTATGGTTCAGTGGGGAGGCCTTATCGTTCTTTTTTTTTTATTATTCTAGGCTAAGCGAAATTTAATATTTCGTAAATCACTAAAGATGGAAATGTTATTTTATGATTCATGGTCTATGAAAAGAAAATTAACTTTCCATTTTTCATAAAAACATTATAAAATGTTAAGATAAATGTTTCATGCGAGCGTCATAAATATTCGGCAGTAATAATAATTTTTGTTGTTGCTGAAAAGAACAGTTATTATGAATATGGATACGTAGTAATTGAATTTTTATAGAATAGTTAAATATGAATAAACAAACATTTAAAGAGCCGCGTTGGCTCAGGGGATGCCTCCCGATGAAAAGACCCAGGATAGAATCCCGGCGTTGACTGATGGATATGAATTCTGCTCCCGGTGCGCATAGACAACAGCGCTGGAGTAAAATATTTTTAGTGGTTTGACGAATCATGATTTAGAATATTTTTTTGCCGTCGCACTAAGCGTGGAGAATTTCTGTGGTTTCTGTCTCCATATAATGCAAATGAGGGTAAGTTCAATAAAGAATTTCTCCACAAAGGTTAGTTTGGCCCAATCCTTGTTCCAGGAGTTTCCTTGTCTTCTGGATTGGGTTCAAATTTGCAAAGCTAGGGAATTGTACAGTGCAAAAAAGAAAAAAAAGATGGGCCACTCTGGATAACTTTTGACCTAACGATTGGGTCCTCACGTTTTAGGACTCAATCTTAATGGTTCGAGGAGACAACCTCAAATTTGCTAATCAATAAGAACAGACGATATTCTAAGTTGCGAAATCAGACACAAGAACGTACTTTCTTTGAATAAACATACCTTTTTTTCGATGTATTCGGATTTCAGACCCCAAAAATATATGGGGTAGCCACCATCCGGGAAACATGGTCCCTATAGTTTGGTCAGGAGAGCGCTTTAAAGTTTAGATGCTAATTTTCCTCTTTCACTATATCTCAAGAACTTTCTAAGCGAATTAAAAAGTTTTTGCACGCAATTATAAATTCCTTCATCCAAGGGTAATTCCATGCAAAAAATA